AATTTGAATATTATTAAGTGGAAGAAGACAATTACTAATTTAAAATCTGCTATCAAGTAAATAGAGATATAATTTGATTTGACCTCATTTAGACATGTGATTAAAGTGCTTTGTTATGAATATTTATGTATTACGATGTTATCCATGATTTTATCTGAATAAAGATTTATTTAAAAAAAAAAAATATATATATATATATATATAAAGTAAAAAAAAAAAAAAATGTACACTGATATAGACCCAAGTCGGTAAAGAAAAGAAGAAGAAAACAAACCTGGAGCCGACGTGAAATGAGCCGTGGAGAACCATTGCCCTCGCATCATTAAAGAACTATTTTTGTGGTATTTCTTTTGGATGGAGTGGACCCAGTGGCGTTACATGGGGCACACGCCCCCTCGATCCCCTTCTAACGGTTATACAAAATGAGAGACAACTTAAAGAAATGGGGTCGCGAAAAAAGTTAAAGACGATGTTCCCCTCCAAAATCCTTCCATATAGTATTCGGTTGGCCTTGTTTTCGTCCAATCATTCCCATCTCCTCCATGATCCCAATGCCCCCCCCCCCTCAATGATTGTTTTCTTGCTACACCATTGCTTGCACCTGATCTGGAAAGTGGAAGATTTGGATTCGTGATAGAACGATATTTTTCACAGTTTCCCCCTTTTTTTTCCCAATTATAAATTGCAAACCTATATTAAATATTTTCTGTATTCCTGCACAAAGAGTTGCCAGATACTCTTTAGGAACACACTTGAAAGTAAAGTAAATAAGACCAAAACCCCCCAAAATCTTTTTGATTTCTTTATGTTCATCGTTTACATCTCCATTATCGTTGTCACTCCATTTTTTTATGTATTTATTTTTGTATTTTTTGAATTTTATTATTATAATTATTTATTTATTTATTTATTTATTTATTCATTTATTTATATATTATTATTATTATTATTATTTTTTTTTTTTTGTGGGGGGTGGGACTTGTTCTTCAGATTATTGATATTGTTGTTGCTTTTCTTGCTATTGTTTATGTCATCTCCCCCCCCCCCCCCCCTCCTTCATCTTCCCCTTCTGCTTCTTGTCCTTCCACACCTCCTCCGGTCCTCCTTAGTCATGAATGATAAGAATAGTTATAGGAAATATAATTGTGATTTATATCTGCTAAAATAATCAATAAGTATCCATCGTGTAGATCGTCAGCTCAGTGGCGGATCCAGGGGGGGGGGGGCCCGGGGGCCCGGGCCCCCACCCCCTTGAGAAAAAAATCATGTAAAATCACGTGATTTTTACCTTTTTGGGGGGTTGGCCCCCCCCCCCCCTGGCGCTCAAGGGGGGGGGGGGGGTGCAAATTGAAATTTTTTTGAGGATCAAAAAACAAAAAAATTTGCTCACTACCCCCCCCCCCCCCCCCCCCCCGAATTTTTGGCCGGCGCGTTTTTCAAAATTTTCGGGAGCAAAAAAAAAAAAAAAAAAAAAAATTGTGCTCTGTACATAGACGTTAAAAGATGGGAGTTGTTTGGCATTCGACAATAAGGGGATAGAGCAACGTCGATCTGGCGCTCAGTGGCTGCCGGGCTCACGATCAATTGGGCAAAAAGAATTTCCGTTTCGGTTTAATAAAATTTGGAGTGGACTATTAGGCTATTATTATTATTATTATTATTATTATTATTATTATTTTCAACTATCTTTGTTTTTTCTAAATCCTTCCCCTCAATAATTTTGACGAAGAAAAGTAGAGAAAATAGCAAAAAAATATATTTCCACAAGTGAAACGCGAATACAGATAAAGATAGACCTAACAGGTCTGTTTAGTGAGTGAATGTTAAAGCCTATCTGCTCTGGTTTGACCAGGTGGGATTAGACCTCCCTGCATGGTCACTGACAGGTGCTTATCTCATCAAATCAGCGCTCAATTAACATAAGAAAAGGGGACCATGGGGGACCAATGGTCACCGTTTAGGCATTGTTTGCTATATAGAGGGCGCATGTAGCTATAAGTAGTCGGTGAGGCTTTAATGTCTTGAAAAAAAGAGTCCAAATATCCACACCGACCATTACATGTGATATAACATTTATCGAGTTTGATGGCAGGCAGAGTATATAGTAATAATACACTTATATTTTTTGTTTAAATGAAGAAAATCAGTGTCTACGGTGTAATATATAAACATTCAGAAAGAACAGCAGCAGACAGAGATAGATAGAAAGGGGAAGGGAGGGAGGGAGAGAGACAGAGAGAGACAGAGAGAGTGACAGAGACAGAGGGAGAGAGACAAAGTGATATGGAGATACAGATACCAACAATAATTTTCTATGAAGCCAAAATAAAAAGATTTTAAAAAATGGGGAGGTATTGACAAAATCTAATTTTCAGTTACAATGGTTGAAAGAAACACAAAAAGGATAACAGCTTCTCAGTTCTCAACTTTCCATCCGTCAAAGAGTGCTTTCATTCATTAATATATCCAACACATCAGCCTTAAATGTTTACAGAAAGGAAGAGGAAGGTAGAGAGAGAGAGAGAGAGAGGGTGAGGAGGGGAGGGGGACGTGTATAAGGAGTAATGTTTTCCTGTCATAAAGGCATCCAAAATGTGACATGCAATATTACAGAAAATAGATGCAGATTGATAAAGAGAAAATAGGTAAAGAAAATACAAGAAAAAATGAAGCCCGAGAAATAATGTGGAGAGAGAAATGAGAGAGAGAGAGAGAGAGATAGAGAGAGACGGAGGTCGCAAGAGAGAGAGAGAGAGAGAGAGAGAGGGAGCAAGAGAGAGGCATACAGACAGACAGAGACAGAATGACAAACAACAAAACCAAAACTGTCCACCAATAAAAAGGCTTGGGCTATGTGACTACAAGTGTGTCGGACAAAAGAAAGAATAGACAACTTTAATTAGAAAATAGTGAATCACTTTTAATACAACTACCTTCCATAGTAGTTTTAGAAAAATAGTATCTGATATCTTTTTAATTTATATTCTATATATTTACATAGATTGCATGCAGAACCAAAAAACTAAAATGAAAGAAAAAAACATTATCAAGATACATCTATAGAAAATACTTGTAAATTATCACTAAAAGGAATGTTTTTATATTTGAATTGCACTAATAAATCAACACTCAAGGAAAATTACCCTTTTCTTTTCAATATGACTTTTGAGTTTAAACTTAAGTGATAACAAATGACCTTTTGACCTCTACCTATGTGACTATCTACCGGTATATCTGGGTTAGTCCAAGAATATTTGTCCCATATTTGAGAATAATCACTACCAAATTCATGGATGTGCTTTGTGAATACCTTTTGATTACCGTTTTGAAAATAATAGAGTACCAAAGTTCGATGTCATACTGGCCACGTTGTGATGTCATACTGGCCACATTGTGATGTCATACTGGCCACATTGTGATGTCATACTGGCCAAAGTGTGATGTCATACTGGCCACATTGTGATGTCATACTGGCCAAAGTGTGATGTCATACAGGCCACATCGTCAAGGTTGCTGGTTCCAAACTTCCAAACAAGCACCAAACACTGAATTTGCCACGCTCCAGCCCATTGCTTGAATGGTTTTACGATAAACGTTCATGAGCAGGCTCTTTTGTTTGGAACCAGTAACTTGGATGATGAGCGAATATGATGTAAGCACTTTGGTATTCTATACTTCCACCTGTGTATCATGGAATGGTTGGTGCATGAATGAGTAATTATTACATAACTTTCATGAACACGTATCCAGCAGTCGTCTCAATACGATTTTACAGTTTTGCACAAATTACCTATCAGATAATTAAAAAGTGGGGTGATCGTGAGAATTAGGTACAACCCCAAATCAGTCTTGCACAATGTATAGTTAGAACATAGGGATTGCATTTTTGGTGCTCCGCGCTATAGAAATGCAATTCATTATCAGTGTTGTTATGTGTTCCACTAATACACCAAAGCCATTGAAGGGTTACCATGAGAGAACCAACATAAATAATCACAGAATCATACAAATGTAACAATAAATGTTAAGGAATACAAAGCAATCATCCTGATTGATCTTCATGGCCCGTATTCTGAAGTCGTGTCTAACTCCTGTTTAACTAAACAGTTGTCTAAGTCTTGTCTAAGTCCCGTCTAACTTTAGACACGAAGTCGTGTCTAACTTTTTTGGTATTCTGAAGTCGTGTTTAAATAAAGTTAAACACGAAGTCCTGTCTAAGCCCTGTTTAACTTTAGACAACTGCGAGGGGTTGTTTAAGTCCTGTTTAAGGGCGCGATTCTGCTGCTTTTCAACGTCGACGGTACACTGTACTTGCTGACCCCGAACTTGCGGGGGAGAACGATGGTACGTGCATTCTCCAAAATTTCAAATACGTTTTGCAGGATTTTTTCTCGTGTAGCCTAATTTTTTTCTCGATAATATCAACTATTCTTATCTACTGGTGACATCTTCGAAATTCCATAATCTATAATAAACTAACCATTCTGTTGGAGAAGTTTCTTTTGTGGTTCTTCCGAGCACTGAGGCACCGATAAGTAGTGTGTTTGTCAATCTCAGTGTACAGTACGTGTACTACGTACGTACGTACGTACACAAAGTACATGCAGTCTAGTCATTACGTCACGATCACATCACCATGGTACCCGCGCACAGCTAGCTGTGCGCGTTAATTTATTTATCCGGTGCGCGCACGCATGCGCATTGGGTCTTTCGTCAGAATTAACGCCTACTGGGCATGCCCAGAAGTCGTGATTAAGAGTTAAACACGACTTGCGCAGAACTTAAACAGTTGTTTAGTTAAACACCACTTAGACATGACTTAAACAGTTGTTTAGTTAGACGAGACTTAGACACGACTTCAGAATACGAAATTTAGTTAAACAGGACTTAGACACGACCTCGCGTCTAAGTCCTGTCTAAGTCGTGTCTAACTAAACAGTTGTTTAACTTTAGACGTGGCTAAGTTAGACACGACTTCAGAATACGGGCCCATGTATCTATCAATAAGTTTTGAAAGAGAGTGTATAACTGCCAAGTAATGAACATACACGTTTATACAGCCGTTCAAATACCACTAATTTCCAAATTTTTCTTGTCTTTTCCAGGTACGGGTTTTGAAGAACACACCATAATCATATTACAAAGCTAATGCTAACAGAATAGCGAACCCGTCTCCAGAGGTGGGTTTTTTTCCGGGTACAATTGCCTTCTTAGTTCCGTAAAAACAATTCCCGACATTAGTATTTGAAAATTGTCTCTAACTACTTTGGATTTACTTGCGCTGCCAGAGAAACTATCTTCTGCAATCTGGAAGGCGCTTACAAACTTCCAGCACGCCCTCATCGGGCCGTGCTCGCAAGTGGAAGCCAAAGCCGTGTTGCGTTAGCGGGTTTTCCGACTGACCGAACTTGATGCAGACGTAGCGGACATCCTGGCAGCTGTTCACTCTCATCCGATAACTGACACCTTGAAACGCGAATGGAAGACCCCAGACGTACTTCTGAACTCTCTGCTTGTCGTTGAGGGCCTGGTCTACCATGTTGGAGGGGTTCGTTCCTTCGGGTCTGCGGCTTGTCCACACCGAGATCTTCCATAAGTCCTCGCCAGAAACACCGGTAGTATCCCAGGACTCTCTGAAGGTAACATTCACCATGAGAGAGAGTGAGACACGTTGGCCCGATCTTAGTTCTCCGATGTTAGACATGATTGTTGGTGTAACTTGGGTAACGAACACATCTTAAAGCGTTAACAAATTGAAAGGAGGAAAATCAAAATATTATTATTTCTTTTTCATATTCATATATTTCATTTTGATCATTCGTTGTGCTTAAAACTCTTTCTCTGACGTCTTTCTCAAGATTTTGCATGAGTTAACTGAGCTTCAAGTCAACCGTTAAATTTTCACTGTGAAAAAAAAATACTGGAGTTCGACGCAAAGTTGGTGAAGCGGAAGGATTCTACTACAAAAAGCAGTGCTTGAACTTTGTAGGTCAATATATAAATGATTCGACGACAATCGCTCGATACATTCTAAATTACGTTATAATAGAAATAATTTTCGGTAGCGGATATCAACTCACTTGAGGGACAGAAGGGGCAGCATTCGCCCTCTATCTCGATTGGTCCGTAGCAGAAGTGCGGCGGGCAACTCTTGGTGAGACATCGGATGGATGCATCACTACATTTACACCTCGTGCACGGACCAGCGTCCCATCGTTCCCCATGGCGATGCTCGGTGACGCTTGCGACACACGGACGTGGAGGGCGCGGTTCTGTGCCTCTATCTTTGTCCTTACCCCTTCCCTTTCCTTTTCCTTTTCCCTTGCCTTTGCCTTTCCCCGACGAAGCTCCGTTATTGTCTCCAGTTGTTCCCTCGACTAAGTTTGATTCAACAACGGGACGCCTGGTAGTGGTAGTTGTTCTAACGGTTGTGGTGGTTGGTGGTAGCGTTGTTGTTGGTGGTAGCGTTGTTGTCGTGGGCGGTTGCGTTGTTGTTGTGTGCGGTTGCATTGTTGTTGTGGGAGGTTGCGTTGTTGTTGTGGGCGGTTGCGTTGTTGTTGTGGGCGGTGGCGTTGTTGTCGTGGGCGGTTGCGTTGTTGTTGTGGGCGGTTGCGTTGTTGTTGTGGGCGGTTGCGTTGTTGTTGTGGGCGGTTGCGTTGTTGTCGTGGGCGGTTGCGTTGTTGTTGTGGGCGGTTGCGTTGTTGTTGTGGGCGGTTGCGTTGTTGTTGTGGGCGGTTGCGTTGTTGTTGTGGGCGGTTGCGTTGTTGTCGTGGGCGGTTGCGTTGTTGTTGTGGGCGGTTGCGTTGTTGTTGGGGGTGGTTGCGTTGTTGTTTCTACTGGGGCATCGGGGTCTACCCAGTGACTGTCCAGATCTTCGTCAGCTACATATATTAGAAATCAGAACATATTGACCATCTTATTGTCACTCAAACACGCATCTAATATATGCACGCTCAATGTTTGTATTCTCTTCTTCATGTTCTGGAGAACATGTGTAATTCAACATTTCATTACATTCATTTTCCTAGCCCTAAAATCCGGTACCCGTATGTTCCTACACCTTTATAGTAGATAGCCCCTATGTTCCAACAATCCTATATTTTGTCACAGCTATGGACCCACACCCAAATATTTCGTCACTCCTACGTTCCACCGACCTAATATTCGATCACCTTTCTATTCCGACACCCTATATTTCGTCACCCCTTATTTTCTGACACCTCTATATTGTTGTCATCCTTATGTTCTGACACCCAAATATTTCGTACCCCCCCCCCCCCCCTATGTTGCGACACCTCTTTATTCTTCACCCACTTTGTTCCAACACCCCTATATTATTGTCATCCCTATGTTTTAACATTCCGATATTTCGTCACCCGCTTTGTTCCGACACCCCGTTATTTCTTCACCCGGTTTGTTCCGACACCCTTTATTTCGTCACCCGATTTGTTCCGACACCCCATTATTTCGTCACGCGATTTGTTCCGACACCCCGTTATTTCTTCACCCGATTTGTTCCGACACCCCATTATTTCGTCACGCGATTTGTTCCGACACCCCGTTATTTCTTCACCCGATTTGTTCCGACACCCTTTATTTCGTCACCCGATTTGTTCCGACACCCCATTATTTCGTCACGCGATTTGTTCCGACACCCCGTTATTTCGTCATCCGATTTGTTCCGACACCCTTTATTTCGTCATCCGATTTGTTCCGACACCCCATTATTTCGTCACCCGATTTGTTCCGACACCCCGTTATTTCTTTACACGATTTGATCCGACACCCCGATATTTTGTCACCCGATTTGTTCCGACACCCGTTATTCCTTCACCCGATTTGTTCCGACACCCGTTATTCCTTCACCCGATTTGTTCCGATGCCCCCTTTTTTTCTTTACCCGATTTGTTCCGACACCCCGTTATTTCTGCACCCGATTTGTTTCGACACTCTCTTATTTCGTCACCCGATTTGTTCCGACACCCCATTATTTCTGCACCCCATTTTTCGACACCCCATTATTTCGTCACCCGATTTGTTCCGACACCCCGTTATTTCTTTACACGATTTGATCCGACACCCCGATATTTTGTCACCCGATTTGTTCCGACACCCGTTATTCCTTCACCCGATTTGTTCCGACACCTGTTATTCCTTCACCCGATTTGTTCCGATGCCCCGTTTTTTTCTTTACCCGATTTGTTCCGACACCCCGTTATTTCTGCACCCCATTTTTCGACACCACTTTATTTCGTCACCCGCCTTGTTCTGACACTCTATATTATTGTCATCCCTATATTCTGACACCCTATATTTCTTAGCCTGATTTGTTTCGACACCCCGTTATTTCTGCACACGATTTGTTTCGACACCCTCTTATTTCGTCACCCGATTTGTTCCGACACCCCCCCCCCCCCCTCCGCGTATTCAGCGGGTGGCTGAGTCGTCGAAAAATTTTCGGCCCGATTAAAAAATGTTAACCCTCCCCCCCCCCCCCCCCCCCTTGAAAAAATCCTGCGTACGCTACTGATTCTGACACCCTATATTTCGTCACCAGCTTTGTTTCAACACCCCTATATTTCGCCACCAAAATCGGGCCTCATTTTAAGCTGTTACATGTCATCTTTAGAATATAAATGCATTTGAAGAGCCATGCTTTTCAGGGAACTTTTTTTCTATGATGTTCGTCCCAGTTGCATAATAACAATTATGATGCTCACAAATTATTTTTCACCTCTCACCATAACTCAACCTTCTCTTTAAAAGATACATTTTCAAATATTTCGTGACCCTTTTTTATATATGTGCACGACTAGCATAATACTCCAGAGCCGCCTTTAGAATACCATTTGTAGAACACCACACTCACGTAGGCAAGCTTGAGCCTCTATACAAGTGTTGAAATCGTGATTTATTCCCATAAGTTCAAACTCGACGCCATGTTCAGGTTGTGGATCATCTCCAATGCCGAATGCGAAACAGAAATACCGCACCAGCTCACATTCGTAATTCTGTAGATCATACCTTGCATCTAAAAGGGAAACACGATAACAAGTCGATTAAACATTACAATTAACAAATTTGAATCAAGTTATATATGTTAAAAGAGATGAACCGGCAGAAAATTCCACTACGCCCTGCTGACCTACAGGGCTAGAAAAGAGAACTCCGATAAGATTCATGATAACGGGCTCAGATTTTCGATCACTTAATTCATGACGGGCCTACACTCGTCAATGTGGTCAAAGAACATCTGGGTCCTGTTTTATAAAACTTAACGCCAATAACAAATGTTAAAATTGTGTAATTTGTTATTGATGACAAGTTTTATGAAACAGGGCCCAGATGTTCCTAGACTACGTTGACGAGTTTAGGCCCGAATCCAAGAGATAATTCGGCACAGTTCGGCAAGTATCAACGCAACCCGAATACCGTTCGGAATATTATGTAGTAAAACAATTTGCCAACGGGTGCGAAACATTTAAAGCTTTGAAAAATGTAGCACACCTTCAGCAAATTGCAACATTCAATGTTGTCACAGGTCATCATGAATTAGATGATTATCGTACACTAGACTGGTTTGTGGATGACTGGAGTTGAATTGTGTCCGGCGTGGGTTATGGATCATTTATCTTTTTTAAGGGAGTTAGGATCAGCAAGATCCAACTCTTTTTTCTTTATGCTTTTTGGTTTGATTGTTTGTTTGCTTATTGGATTTGTTTTTGTGTGTTTGTTTGTTTGTTTTGGTCCATTTAATCCCGGCATAACATATTTGGTGAGTCTTGACATCATTATAATAATATTTGACCATGAGCATGATGAGAGGTCGGGATGTGACACAAGGAACAGAGACCGTTCTGAGATAAACTAAACGTTAACAACTGTACCTTTATTCATCAAAATGTAAATACTGTGATGTACAAAAAGAAATACTATAGGCGCTTTCAATGTAAAAGGGTAAAAGAACACAGTAAAGAAGACCCCCAAAATAGCTCCGTGATAAGATGGGTCTTCGCTTTTTCATTTTTTAATTATGGATAGAAATTGCGACAAATAAAAATGAGACTCACTTTTTATCTTGAACTTCTTTCCTTTGGTGTAGGTCTGTGATTGTTGCTTGTCGTCGAGTATCTGGTCGACGTACATCATTCGTGATCCAGTCCCTTTGTTATTCGTGCTCGCCCACGCACTCATCTTCCAAAGTTGTTGCCCGCTCACCCCGGTGGCTCTATCTTTTTTCTCTCTGAAGCTGAGGATGAGATTGACGTCGAGGTATCTGATCTGCCCCGTATTGTAGTCGTACGGCCCTCTCGCTGAGTATGCGAGTCTGTATGCGACCACATCTAAAGGCGAGTTTACATGAGAGGACGTATTGAGGAAACCTATTATTATTAGCGAAGATTACTTTATTCTCATTTGATTATGTGAACGAACATTAATTTAAGCTCACTTTCTGTGAGAACGAATATTAATTTATCTTCATTTAGCTGTTAAATGAAGATGAGTTTTTCTTCGTAAAAGTAATAGATTTGCACATGTATACACATCTATTTGTATTCATTTCTACATATTAAATTGTATAGTACATATGCATATCTTGTTTTCATTTGTTTCAATTATTTGTCTGTAGTGAATGACATTCCTTTATGTTTAAATGATAATTGAGTGAAGAGACTGGAGAAGCGTGTGTAGAACACCCAGCGAAACTCAATCTGCCTCCATCTTTCTTTGTTCTTTGTTTATTTGCTTCTTATCGACTTCGGAAGAAAATGAAAGTCGTTTTATTGATCTTTCCCCCTTATCATTAAAATATAGTTGAGTAGCACAATACGAGGGAAAGAAAGCAACGAGATTATAAAGGTAGGGAACAGAAGAGAAAAAGAACAGAACAGAATGGAGCAGAACGGAACAGAACGGAATAGAGCATGTGAACTTACAAAAAGGGCAGAGACTGCAACACACTCCTTCGACTTGTATTGGGTCAGGGCAGTTAGGTCGTGAGCATTGTTCAGTAGTACACTCCGGACGTCCCTCAACACAAACACAATTTTCACAATCGGTTTTCTTCCATTCTTCACCGGCTTGGTATTCACTTCCTCCAGATCTACACGTCTGACCCTTGTACGATTTGGGTTGTAGCGGTTCTGTGTCTGTGAAAGATTTGAATTTTAAAAAAAATGATGATTCTGCTGAAGCCGTTGGGAGTTGATGGACGTGGGCGTCGGGGGTTCTGCGTCTGTGAAAGATTTAAAATTTAAAAAAAATGATGATTCTGCTGAAGCCGTTGGGAGTTGATGGACGTGGGGGTCGGGGGTTTTGCGCCTGGGAAAGATTTGTAATAAAGGAATGATGTTTCTACTGAAGCCGTTGGAAGTTGATTGACGTGGGGGTCGGGGGTTTTGCGTCTGGGAAAGATTTGTAATAAAGGAATGATGTTTCTACTGAAGCCATGGAAGTTGATGGACGTGGGGGTCGGGGGTTTTGCGCCTGGGAAAGATTTGTAATAAAGGAATGATGTTTCTACTGAAGCCATGGAAGTTGATGGACGTGGGGGTCGGGGGTTTTGCGCCTCGGAAAGATTTGTAATAAAGGAATGATGTTTCTACTGAAGCCATGGAAGTTGATAGACGTGGGGGTCAGGGGTTTTGCGTATGGGAAAGATTTGTAATACAGGAATGATGATTCAATGGAAGTTGATGGACGTGGGGGTCCACCCTCCCTTATTTACCTCTAGTCTACTGTGTTTACAGAATAGTGCTAATAAAATACTGACGATAATAATGGTGGGTTATTGTATAGCACCCATGTCTGTCAGACTTAAAACTCCTGCAGCTCCGTAATACGTAACACCCCGTCTAGCGTGGCTGCGCTCTAGCATTTCAAGACATTTATTCCTGCCAGGTACCCATTTACCTAACCTAGGTCAAGTAATTTGGAAAATGTAAGTTAATGTTTTTCCAAATGACATTAGTACCGAATGGGGACTCGAATCACGAACCATGTAATCCACAGTCCGCTGATGTATCCACTAGACCACGACACCTCCCATACTCCTCGCTTGGTACCTCGGACGGTATTCTACTAAACATATAAAGCCGTGAAAATTGTTCTATAGCCCTCTACAGGTATACCCAGGGTGTAAATCTTGATTTTGACACCCTTAACCCCATGGCATAAGGCAAAATAAGTATTTTGGTGGTGCCCTGACCGCCGCAGACCCGTTGGGCTAGCTGCTTGCCCCGCTTAAGCCGGCAGGCAATATTGAAAACTATTTATACCCAGGGAGTACATTTCGTTTAAAATCGGTCTTAACAAGGGAAATAAGTCTGCCGTTATATAGTTTTCATAACAGAACGATAAATGTACCTGGCGGGGTCCATGTAAGAGGATGAGGAGGGGGATCTGATGGCACCATGCACATCCATTTTTACATAATTTCAGTCTCCTTTAGTTAATCACCCAATTTACGTTATTCTTATCATTTGACTATCATACAGTTTCCCCTATGAAATACCTGGGACCCATTTCACAAAATCCTTTTTCGATGACAAATTGACACAAATCCGTGACAAATCTGCTGATAACCAATCAAAAGCAAGGATTTTCCTAGCTTATAACACAAACTGTAATTTGTCACTGATGACAAGTTTTGTGAAATAGAGCCCAGCTTTTTATATTTGTTCGTATATCATACTTCTATTACAATCATTTTTCATGTATTCTATGCATGTTTTTGAATTATTCATTTTGAATTGCTTGCAAGCTGAATAGGCTGCTCTGTGTAAAGAAGTGATTTAAATTGATTTTATTTCAAAATTTACGGCACCAAAACATCCACACCCCCTTTTGCCCTAAAATCCTTTCACTTTCAGCCCCAGCTGCATTTATTTGTTTGTTTTTTCATTAGTTTGTTTGATTGTTTATTTATTTTTTCTAAGTTATTTACCGTGCCATGGTGCAGCAAGGGGGTATCGCGCCACTGTTTGATTTGGAAGAGAGCCAGTGCTCTTGTTTTGAGAGATAATTCAATAACCTATATATAGGTCAGGGATCATGATCGTTACTTAACCTTATTACAGCTGATGCTCATGACAAAAGGGGTCACATGACTTGATAATGAACTTTAATCTCAAAGAGAGCTGGGATACCTAGACATTTTGTTTTAAAAAATGAGGAAAGGGTTCACTCCTTTCTTCTTCTTTTTTCTTCTGATGTATGAAAAGGAATGGCATGATCTTTGACGTTCCATGTGTCTTCAATTGGCGTGACCAAAGTGAATGTAAAACGAACAGTTCAAAGATTGACATTGTGTTAGATTATATATGATGACCACCTTTACACCATAAACTAGCGGAGGTAATAAAGCAATCGAATTGACACCTGTTGTGCAGCTGGTATTTTGCTCGTTGTAGACTCTAAATAAAACTTACCATTGCAAGTTGGCGCTGGCACACACTTCCTGATATCTCGGCTATCCTCCCTAGGTCCGGTAAAAATGAGCTCCAGTCCCGATTTTGTGGTAGGTGCGTCACCCCGGGCAAAAATGAGGCAAATATGGCGCACAGCTTCACAAGATGGAGGAACGAGGTCAAAGGTGATGTCATTGATGACGAAATCGGTATCCTTTTTGTGGAACCGTGACGCCTGTCGCGCGGTGAGGACTTGGTCGACGTAGCCGTGTCGCGCTCCTCCCCCGTCAGGGTAGCTGCTCGCCCACGCCGAGACCTTCCATAGGCGTTTACCAGTCACGCTCGTCGTCTGCGAGAATTCGTCGAATAGGACGTCAATGTTAAAGGTCAATGTGACGGGTTGGCCGTGGCCAGTCATGACGTCATTCAGACGGCGAAGTTCAACGTGTAGCGCCTGGGCAATGACGTCTGTATGGGTAGAGAGAGAGTGGGAAAGAGGGAGAGAGAAAAGTAAAAGGAGAGAGAGAGAGAGAAAGTTAGACTTGAGAGATAAAAGGCTGTGCTAATTCTAATTTTATCCATATTTTATCCACATTTTTATCTCATTGAGAGGCGGTGCCATCCCTCCCCCCTCCCCACACACACGTACACTTCATTCCACCTTTAATGGTTTGGACGAATGGTACACTACAGGGCCTACTTAGTCAATATTAAGCAAATAACTACCGTTGGTGAAGGTGATGGGACAAACTATCACTTCCGAGGCGATCTGGAAGTAGATATCTTCTCCGAAGCGAAGCTGAGGAAAGATAGCGTATACATTCTGATCGACGAGGAAGTGATAATTTGCCATCGCCTGAAACCAAAAGGTGATTATTTGCTTTATATTCCACATCTAAAACAATTTAACTACAAAAAGAAAAGGACGTTTATACATGAAAGACACCAGGCCCAAATTCACACAAAAAAGTTAAAAGTTTAACCCAACCCCTTGAGGGTACGGTGCGCGCATGTGTTTGCTTTAATAATTGCGCTCAGGCCCCCCAAGCTCCGCCATTTTGTCCGGATCCATTAGAAGCCAAAATAAGCCACCTTGCATAATTCATGAGCCTTATGAATTATGCATTCTGTAGGATGCTCCCCGCGAAAAGTGTACTGGAATGATGTTCACTACATGGTACAAGACAATACGCGTATCAGCGAAATTAGAGAGGTCAAATAATCTACTGTACGGAATTATGGGTAATTTATTCATCATGCTGCGCGCTAGCAACGCAAGTGATTCAGCGAATCAGCGTGGATTATTCTGATGCGATCACCGTTAGGTGAAATACGCGCTCGAACTTGTATTATCGATCACCAGTATAACAGCTGGTGTACCCAGGATGCAATTGGGAAGTGGACCTTAAAGTTCCACTCGTTGTGTTGTTTTGAGTTTTAATGGCATGTATCATTCATTTATGAATATTTACGCCTACTAACCTAAACATCATTACACCTCTACTTATTAATATTCCAGCATTAGATTTTTCTGAAAATCTCTTTATTGACCAAAAAATGATAATAACCATCCATTTTTCAACACATTCTCTGGCTATGATTATACATTTTAAATATGCTGATGTATTAAGTTTCCCTATTTTAGACAATGGCACAGTGGATGGATTTTCCCCATCCACTCTCATCGTGACCTTAACAATTCCCTTTCTCTCTCTTTCTCCGTCTTTCGAAAAATATCTTCTGCAAATTTTGTTCTCTTGACTCTTTTGTTGTTGTCTTGACAACCTGTTGCAATTCCTTTCTGTCTCACTTTCAGTCGTACTTGTTATTGCCACTCATTTGCATGCACTCGCTATCAACTACGATCAACCATTCTATATTCACTCCATTACCCTCCACATTTCACTTGCATTCTCTTCATTTTTCCTTTTTGCAGCCTTTGCACGAGCTTTGAACCATTTTAATGTAGAGACCGGAAAGTATGCTAATCATTTTATTCAAATGTTCCAACTTGAAAAAAGGAAAGTGAAACATTGTTTAATTTTATCTTGAAATAAATGATTTTTTTTTTTAAAGACAATTTAATTTACACTGGAAATTTTGAATTGGCCGGGTTGCCTGCCACAACCCCCCCCCCCCCCAAGCCCCAAAGAAAAAACAACAACAACCCAGGAGTGGTACCAAGGTTTTAGTTAGGAGGCCCATGTCCTGTATAATTTTTTATTTAAAAAAATATTTTCTCTTTTTTATTAATTTTACATTGGTATACTGTTAATTTCACTAGGAAACCATCCCTTTCTCTTAACAATAAACACTGCAATTATACTTATATTATTACTTCTAGCAACATAAATGCTAAAATTTAAAACGTTTTCACTTTCTAAATCCTTCTAATATAAACATATGATAAATATAATGTTGTTTACACTTTTGCAACCAGTTACATGGTCCATGTAGAAACAGCACCAGGAAGAGGATTGCAAGCCCCCCCCCCCCCCTGTTTTCTTAAGTTAGGAAGTATCAAAACATGATTCTATTAAAATTAGTAGTTTGGATACGAAAGGCAATGATGAAATGGCAGTCTGTCTATGTCTTTATATATTTAATGCATTTAGAGGGTTGACTTTCAAACCTTGAAGCAGCATTATACTGCAATAATCTACAAATCCTCTAAAATACAGAAGTCCATAGAGGTAAATGAATTTCAACATGTATAATTATAATTAAAATATCATTGAATTAATTCAATCTTTGATATAGACTGGTAGATCTTTATCACTCAAATTTCAAGGAGAATCTTTCTGCCAGGCAGTCTTCCCATAAGATGGTAGTTAACATTGTTAAAATGTTAATGTTTATTCATTGATGATTAGCTATCTTTAATTATTTGAAAGTTGACAAGATGATAAATTCATTAGATTTTTTTAAATCTGGTATTCTACAAACATATGATACAAATAATAAATAAATATTCAAGTTTAAACCCATCTCTACTGTCCTCTTTCATTATATGAGGGTGGCATCTTTAAGAGGTAGTCCCATGTAGATGTCTTCTGCATTCATCTATGAAGTTGTAGGCTAGTTTTCATTAGAAAGGGCTGTGATGATAACCCAAGTCTGTTGAATGGAAAAATGAAATAAGATATAGTGTATAAGAAAATAAACAACAACTAATAACACACTCCCCGATACCTGCTCTGACAAAAAGAGAAAAGACTAATATTCACTTGTAATTCTAGTGGGCAAACCTAAACTATTTTTCCTACAAGACTAGTTACTGAACACATGTTAGATTATTTCTGATGATCCCATTAAGACAATAGGCCTGATGGAGCTTGGATCAGACAAGGTATGAAATAAGTAATACGTGTACAATGTACTTGTATTGTGAACTTGTGCTCAAAATTGAATAATACTCGGTTAAGTATGGGACATAAAATGACCAAACAACTTGGACCAGAGAATGTACTTGAAATAATCATATTAAAACATACGTAATGTAGACTAATATTTCATCTATATCAACATTTTATTTTAAATCTAAATCACAATTGTGATATTCAGTCAAGTATTCTTTTACAAGTAACGGACAATGAAAAATATGTTTGTCAGATCTATAACTTTCTGCATGATATGTGTTCTACAATAGTTTTATTGGGGGTACCTACATTGTATATTAGCACACTTGCTCGTATGAAGTGTAGTAGGCCCGCATCTCTAGATATGATTCTGTCAATATCTGTTCTTTGTTCCTCTCCTGGGTTTGTAATCAGCATGCCTTCATCATCCACTGTAGAAAAGCATCATCCTACATAAGAGAAAACAATGTAGGTACTTCAATTAAAAAGTGATAATAATAGATACATATCAACCATAATACTTCCTATAAACAGACTTTCATTAATCTTATGTTGTGTTCTTCTTCATCTTCATTGCTCAAGAAGTGAAAGGACCACTTACAAAAAAAAAGAAGTAATGAGGGGTCCTGTGTATACCCTACATGTATGATCATTATCATTATTATGTAGTGCTTTGAATGTGCATTAGACATCGTTCTTCTACACACAGGACCTCCTGTAAATAAGGACAAATCTCTTTGTAAACAAAGAAAGTGAAGAACTAGAATAAAATATCCCCTCCGCTATATACACCTGCAACATAAACTTAGTTCCATTTTCTTTTTAGTGAATTAATAGGTGGTCTTTTAATATTTGTGTGCTAAATATCCTAAAAATTTTACCTGCATGGGACTTTCAGCTTCATCCTGCAAATATAAGAAATGTTGTAATGTCTACTCATCAGTTAACTCCTTCCAGCTCGATCTTCATCAGTTTCAATTTGTTGGAACAAAAAGAAAACAAAATCAATTTGACAATCAAGACGTCCCTTTCTCCTTAACAAAATAAAAATAGATCTAGCATAAAAGCTATTTTACATGTCATGGTTGGCCTTAATTTTAATATGGTGTGGAAATCTACATTCCAATTTAATGGACCACTGTACAAATTAAAATCAAATGGAAGATTTAACTTGTGCTTCAAAAAGTGCTTTATATGGCCTACAGTATACATATAAAGTAGTCTTAAGTAGAATTGGTTTATTAAGACAAGAAGAAGTGGACTACATAAGTAAACATAATTGTGGACTAGGGATCTTCTCTTACACAAATAGATTTATCAACATGAACTGCACAATTTGGAGAAAAAAACCTCTAATAAATAGGGTCTAGATCTAGTCTATATTAAAAGAATTAATAGGGGTCAGGCACGTACACAGGGGGGAGGGTTGGGGTTAACCCCCCCCCCCTCCCCCTTAAGCTTTATTGATGTGTATGTTTTTCTGCAACCCCCCCCCCCTTTTTGTGTGTTGATTTTTTTTTTTAAATAAAATTTTAAAAAATAAATCCTAATGGATGACCTAAAAAAGATGACCCCCCCCCCCCTCCCCCCGCTTATTCAGCGCCTGGCCGAGTCGTTGCGAAGTTTTTGGCCCGATTTCAAAATGTTAAACCCCACCCCCCCCCCCCCCCTTGAAAAAAATCCTGCGTACGCCAGTGATAGCTAGGGTCTAGATCTAGATCTAGTACTAGTAGGCCTAGGTCTAGACTTGACAAGCACGCTGGACCCACACGAAATCTAAATATTAAATAAACAAATCCTAGTGTTGATGTTTTTTAAATATATTTTATTAAGCATAATAAGTTTCAGGTTTACATCTAAATGAATAGGATTTGGAGTTGTTTGATTATCAATGGTCACAGATAATTTTGGTCTAAATAAAGTTGACACGCACCGCGTATGCAACTGAGCGAACGGATGGCACCGATATTGATTAGTAAAGCCATCAGAGTCCACATCTACTAAAGATTTTAACAAGAATTAATCCACTTGGATTATCAAAAAAATCATGCTTCGTAGATTATTTTAAGGTGTAACGTTAAATCTAGATTTAAATTAAATCGGTGATTGGTGAATTAGATTCATGATGACGATCAAATCTCAAATAAAACTTGATTAGAAAGTTTGATCTTGATGCAAATGAGCACCGAAATTCCCCAGGGTGGGCCTGCCGGAACTCCGGGGCCCTAACTGGAGTACTAGGGTGAAATGACGGCAAACCGCAGTCAAACTACTTCATGACGATGAAAATCAAAGTGCAATTTCAAGAGCAATATTTTACTAGTCTTTTCCCCAAAAATCTGTTGAGATCTGTCTCCAAATGTAACGAAATTACCGTACATCACGAAGACTATTGCAGCTTTTTCAAAATTGATGACTAAATTCACTTAATCTACTCATATTTCAATCAATAATACTCACCCATTCTCAATGAACTAACTCTTCTCAGTTTGTGCGAGTGTAGTAGCGTCCTGCATAAATCTGCATAATTAAAGTGACGCAATGAGGTCAAATATATTATCCGGTTTCTTAAACGATACTATCGATAAAATACATATTCATGAGGCACTTATCCAATCAAAAAGCCGCCTCGGGTGCTTATTTCGTCTTCAAATGATCCAAAAGAGGCGGAGCCTAATCCCATTCGTCTGCATGGTTTCCGCGCGTGCTGCTTTCCGTCTAGTAATTATATTTAAACGTCTTTGATTGCGCTCATTGGTAATGCGCGCTTAATTACGCCTGTTTAAGTGCGCTTTTGGATAATCTTCAGTAAAAGTGCGCTGCCCTGTGTAGATAGTACCTCTATCTTCAGTGAAAGTGCGTTGCACTGTGTAGATAGTAGTACTATCTACACAGTGTAACGAACTTTTTGCTTCTCCCATCAATAATGGGCGAACTATCTTTCATCACGTGATTTACTTTTGACCAATCGTAGAGCAAGATTCTTAGTATGTGGAATATAATATTATTTATTTGTGGCAGTTATAGTGCTCCCGATGGATTCCTGGTCCGATCCCTGGGCAAAAGGTCCACCTAGCTGAGAAAAGTATGTGATAGCATGAGCCTAACGAGATAGGATAACATAATAGCCAATGTCATGAGGCTAATCAAATTTACTATCGAACATGAAGTATACATTAATACTTGCACGAGAACCCTAAGGCCTGAATTCACAAAGGAGGTTTGTCGACAAACCTTCTTTTGTTTTTTACAAACCAAGGTTTGTAAAAACGCGTCGAAACGCGTCGAAACGCGTCGTATGACGCACATAAACCTCGGTTTGTCGACAAACTTCCTTTATGAATTCGGGCCAAATTGTTTAAAGGTAGAGGTGATGTGGTCTAGTGAATAAGTCATCCGACTGCAGATCACAAGGTACGGGGTTCGAGTCTCGCCGCGGCTCCTTTGGCCCTCTACACCCATGTGTTAAATGGGTACCAGGTAGGATGCGAACGTTGATTTAGTTTGCTCAGAATTGTGAGCGTCTGTAAAATGGCGCCTAGCTGGAATGATCCCCAGGGAGAGAAGAATGTGCACACATCATGTACGGGCAAGCCTGAACCCGATGATCGGGGGAATAATATATGTGCTAAATTAAATATGAAAGCGGAATATAATTATTATTATTATTAGTAGAATATATTCATAATAACCATTTTGGGTGTTGTTATTGTTCATCTTTTTGTCGTAGTTTTTAGATGTGACTATATATTATTACCATTTTCATAATCACCATCTAAACAAATTATGATAAATTTAATTTTTTTTAAAAATCACATTTGGAATTATTTATACCAACATCGTATTTGATCATATTGTTACAATTTTTACATTTGATACTTACTATGGAAGCACAATGGACAAGGCTCTTTCGGGATGGCGACTGGATTGTGGCAGTCCAGGTACGGGCATGTCATGACGTCACAGATTACGTCACTGTCATTGCAATGGCACTTTGTATCTCGATCAATGATCCACGAATCACCATGAGAATATATCTCGCCCTTGAAGATACATGGTACAAGATCAACGCTGCTGTAAACGTCGCTATGACCATCACTGTTCCAACCTGAACACAGAGGAGAAAATTGATTCAGATTCCCATTCAAAGGATGCTCCAATACAACCAACCCGAACACACACACACGCACACCCACCGTAAAACATTTCCCCGTAATTTTAATTTTAATTTTGATTCAATATCAAAACAATATCAATAATTCTTCAGAATACAATCTTTTTCATCAAAATAACACAATGCAATAATTCAATACAATGTAAAATGCATAAATAACAATCGTAAAAGAAAGATTGAACGAAATCAGTTATAATATAACACAAATTATGACCCCCTCCCTTATTACCCAACCCACTCACATAGTTGTGCAACACCACAATAACATCAGTCACACGCAAGAACGCCCCCCCCCAAAAAAAAAAACAACAACAACAACAACAACAAAAAAACAAAACAAAACAAAAAAACAAAAACAAAAAACAACAACAACAACAAACAGAGCAAGATGGTCTGTTAACATTGATATTCACTTCTAATTGTTCCCATTTTTGTAAATGCAACGAAAACCTGCCTCTCTTGATTGCTCAGTTATTTTCCTCCTCTATAAAGTCCTTAATAGTTTGTTATATATGATTCTAGAAGGTAAATGACGTTCTGCCTTAGATTTCAAAATTGTACATTTCAACACAATTATGATAGCATTCAAACACTTTATTCCAAAAATGTATCTAATAATAATGATGATACTCAGTTTTCATATAGCGCTTTTTACAATCACTAAAGCGCTTCCAAACTTTGAAATTATTACCCCGGCTTTAGCTGTGCTGCCATTACGGCGCTCTAGCATTTCAAAGAATTAATTCCTGCCAGGCACCCATTGACATCACCTGGGTTGAGTGTGGCAAATGTAGATCAATGTCTTGCCAAAGGACATTAGTGCCGCGGCGGGTCTCGAACCGCGAACCTTGTGATCGGCAGTCCATATCTCTTAATGCAATTCAAATTTAATCAAAGTGTTCAGTAATGAATTGCCATAACTGTTTGACCTTCCCACACTGAAAAGAAAGTGTAAGTAGGTCTCTGGATCTTTTGGGCAAAATGAACAAACTAGTTTCCCTGAATAAATACTCTTTTGTACATATAATAACAAGAAGTGAAATTCTCTGTGTTGTGCTCCTTCCTCTAACAAAAGAGGTCGCTTATATCTATATCCGTAAAGTCAAATTTGCTATAACCATGCTTTACTAGCAACTTTCATTCATATAAATTTTTTTTAAAACAATTATGAACTTTCCTTTATTTATAACCTGAAATATTTGTGTTCTACCCATAAATATTCAAGACTATATCAAAATCTTTAAATAATCAACTTACCGAAAAGAGGGAATAGCATTCTTTCACTTATAATTGGTGTAACATGAGCAATGTCGATTATCTGAAGCCAGCCATTACTGTTTTCTGGTTTTGTAATAACTAGGATAGAATTCCCAGAAAGAAACATGCCTAGGGATATTCACAAATGTAGGCCTATGACTTATGACCTAGACCCAATGATCAGATGACCCTGTAACCAGGAACTTTTTTGCATTTCAATACAAGTGCTTAAACAGAAGGTTCATTGACATTTGAAAAATAGGTAAATCATACCTCTACAGATTGCTGAGAACCTGAAGAAAATGAATAAAGTACTTTTTAAGTCCTCACTAGTGTGAGGAATACATCAAATGCAATTTGTGATACCCTTTCCAGAACCCACTCACAAATTGAAAAGTTAGGCAATAAAACACATACGATAGTCTGACGTCATTTGAGTGAACTACCCTACATCACACATTCGGGACAATGTTGGATGCCCATTGCAAATTCGTTAGATATATAGGTTTAACGTTGTTTGTATATTTACCGCCAGTGGTGATATTTCCTTTAATTTGGCACTTTAAATGAGATACACCGAATAAATAATACTTTCTACTCAACTATACGACACCTCTTACACATGATAGGAATAAATAAATTCATGGAACACTCTTTTTTGAGGAAAAAAACGAAGATCAGTTCATAATATTCATTCGAAATAAACTATGGGTATAACTTCGTGGAACTTCACATTCTGAATATCCATCTAGTCCACTTTTTCAAACAGAATGCCGCAAGACATCTCCAGGGTACCGCGAGAGAAAGATATTTATATATTACAAAAAACATTTTGTGGAATACGCTGATCTAGTCTAATACTTTCAACTAAAAAACCTCTGACCGCGAGAAAAGTTGTTCTCCGAGAAATCGTGCGCACATTAATATTCCAATTTCGATGAGAAGGGGACTTTCTGAAATTCAAACTGTTTTGTCCGAGTACCGTGATAAATAGAAAAAGTAAACTTGTTGCAAAATCAAATGTTTTGAGGAGTAAAAGGGCTTAATTTAAGATACCATAAAGAGGGGAATTCAGTTTGCTAGGACTTGAACCATGCAAGTAGGCCTACATGTGTTTATTACATTGTCCCTGTTTTCATTCTGAACATGAGTGAAAGTTGAAATCTTGGAACAGTCGAGTGTTCATTCTTTTAAAGAGTGAATTCCCTCATTTTTTTTTCTAGTTTGCCCAGTTTTCCCATGCCACCGCTATGAATAAAATAAAATCTAATGTCTTGACATATCAAATGAGACAATCAATAAAAAGAAATACTATCGCCCCCGTCTACCCTTCCAGCGTGTGTGTGTGTGTGTGTTCACAGACGTGTATCAATCAGATATGATTATTTACGTCTGGGGACCGACGTTTAACGTCACCATAATAATCAGTTCGTAGCTGGATTACAGGAGCACGCCACAACGCCTAGCAGCTGTAAACCCCTCTTTATAAAAAATTGAACCTTACTTTACTATCCCAGCATGCCCATGAAACCCACTTGTTCCTGTAATTAGATTTGGCTAATATCTTGACATCATTTCCTTCCCACCTCATCACTGGCGTACCTATGGGGGGGGCAGGGGGGCAGAGTGCCCCCCCCCCCCCTGACGGGCTCCGGGGGGAAAAAGAAAAAGGGGAAAGAAAAGAAAAAAAAGAAAGGAAAAAAAAGAAAAAAGAAAAGGGAAGAAAAAAAGGAAAGAAAGAGAAAAAAGGAAAAAAAAGAAAAGGGAAGAAAAAAAGGAAAAAAGGTGAAAAAAGAAAAAAGGAAAAGGAAAGAAAAAAAAAAGAAGAAGAGAAAAGGAAGAAAAAGGGAAAAGAAAAGGAAAAGAAAAAAATGAGGAAATTTAAAAAAAAGACCATGACCGTACGCACCAGGGCGGGGGGGGGGGGGGGCAGTTGACCCCAGATATTTTGAAAACGTACAGTTTTTTTCCTGAAAATGTAGTGTAGGCCATTACCAAATCCTTCAATTCTACTTTTGAAAATGCAAAAGTACCCTCATGACCAGGTTCGGTCGCTCGAACTCCCTTCACTCCTTTTGCTTTTGAGATTCTTCGAAAACTTTTAACGCATCTTTCCCCCTCCCCGACCAGAAAAATATTCCGCATACGGCCCTGAAAAATTAAGACAAATGAAAATAGGAAAATATAAGTGATATAACAAATTCGAAACTCTTCGCTGGCGCGAACTGCTTGCTAGCCTATTTTGTATTAATTGTTTTCACTTGCTCGTCCCCCTGAAAAAAGAAAAGGATTAGCATTGCCTAGAATACAATTGTGCCTGCCCCGACGGGCCCCGACCTGCAACCATGGCAACAATAACACACAGTGTATGTACCAAATGTTACTAAAAGAGAGTAATTCATTTTTCTCGCTCGCTACACTTGCTCGCGAATAAAATGAATAGCTATTGCTTTGGAAACAATTATTGTGCCCACCCTTGACCTGCAACAATATCATTAAAAATGGAAGAGTTTTTTCACCCTCTCGCCAAAAAGGAATTGAATCACGCTAAACGCGATTGCGTCCATCCTGACCTGCACCAATAAAAACTAGTTTATTTATTAATTTCTATTAAAAGAGATTTTTTTTTTGCTCGCTCGCTATGCTCGCTCGCCAAAATGGAATTGACACCGCTAACGTGCCCGCCCCAACCTGCAACAACCAGTTAATAATTATGTACCGAACGTTATTCAAAGAAGTTTTGGTGTGCTCGTGCTCGCCAAAACGGAATTTACATCACCTTAGACATGATTGTGTAAGCCCTGCCCTGCAACAAAAAAATCTGAAATTTATGAACCAATTATCATTACAAAAATTTTGCTCGCTCGCTACGCTCGCTCGCCAAAATAGAAATAACACCGCTTTTAATAATCACGTAACTGACATGGAACAATGAACCCAAGTTTATGTACCATATTTTCCCTATAAAAGAGAAGTGATTTTTTTGCTCGCTCGCCAAAATAGAAATAACACCGCTTTTAATAATCACGTCCCTGACATGGAACAATGAACCCAAGTTTTATGTACCATATTTTCCCTATAAAAGAGAAGTGATTTTTTTTCGCTCGCTCGCTACGCTCGCTAGCTCGTGGAATTATGTGCCTACCACTAACCTGCTACAATATCATTTAAAAGAGAAATGTAGGGGGTTGCCAGCCCGCCAAAATGGGATTGACATTGCCTTAAACACGATTGTGCCCGCCCCCGACCTGCAACAATGAAACAAATTTTATATAGCAATTCATTGAGTGAAAGACGTATTTTGGCTCGCTAGCTAAAATGGGTATGAAATCACCCTAAACACAATATTGTTCCCGCGCCCTGCATGGGACAATTGAACCAAGTTTAAGTGGCAATTATTAAAAAAGAAGTGATTTTTTTTCTTGCTCGCTACGCTCGTTTGCAAAAAAATAAAACTAACGTCGCTAACAAGTGAATGTTCCTACCCCCAACTTGCAACAGTACCAGTTTATATACCAAACGTTACTTAAAGATTTTTTTTTTGCTCGCTCGCTCGCCAGAAGTGAAAATTAGCATCGCCTTTTTTGTTTGTTTCGGTCGCTTGCCCCCCCCCCCCCCCCCCTGACGGAGTACCCCAGGTACGCCACTGCACCTCATCCCCCTTGGCAATGACCTTTGACATTCTGTCTCTTCCTCGCGACATCTTGCCAAACATGCAAACGACGAAAATAACTAGTTTCTTTTCCTACATCACCAAACTTGTTTAAAAAACTGGAAATAAGCTCTCGGGCTTTCGTGGGTTATCTTGTTCAAGCTGATTTATTTAGTATCTGTTATTCCTGTATATTGTTGTATGTTGGAAGCTTGGCGAATAAAAATCAATTAATCAATCATTACGACTTCTGTTAAATAATTGGGTCCATCGTGAATGGTTTACGTTATTTTCATTTTTAAATGTCCTCCATAGGTGTAATCATTTTAAACAGATTGATTACATTCATTTAATCCATTTCATATTGTGACTACATGCTGTTCTTAAAGTGACTCGGTAACATTGTTGAAGGTCGATAAAAAACGCATAATTTGTGTATATAATTTTACTTATTATATTCCTTTTACTAAACTAACTCTCTAAAATGCAAACAATCTTGAGAGAATTCTCAAACCACAAAGATATCTATGGTTTTCTTTGAAGGCGTTACCGTACGACATCCTCTAACAGTAAATTCTCCCAACCATTTTAAAATTTTCCCAACAGTTTTCTCATGTAAACAAGACATAAAACAGGCTTTTTAAAATATTTCAACACTTTGACGATTTTCATTCACCTAAAATGTAATTAAATTGTAATAATATAGCTAGGAGAATTAAGAAATTGATCAGATCAGTTTTTCCAATTTGTATCATCAATAATGATCTTTTTTTCACTCAAACTTTCAGATTATGTTTAATTGTACTTTCAGCATTGAAATCACTACCTTAGCACCATTTTCTCTCACCAAGTTGCTTTAAACAAAGACTACGAATGAGGAAAGCCTTAATACATACATTTATAATGTTCTTTGACAATCCTCAGGAATGTCTCTCTCTCTCTCTCTCTCTCTCTCTCTCTCTCTCTCTCTCTCTCTCTCTCTCTCTCTTTTAGGGGGGGGGGAAGGATATTTTTGTTAATTTTGTGACTAATGATACTGTCATAATTGTTTGTCATTTTTCTAGAAATTGATTGAGGTTACATATAAAAGCACTTCCCAAAGCCAAGACCAATCGCAAATGAAAACATGTTGTTCTTAACGTTGAGATATAAGATAATTATGATTTAATCGAAGTTGCGGGATGATGGTTCCTTGTATATCATGGTAGCAATTAGCAATATGTAGCAATTAGGGATTTACATTTGTCCGTATTTTTAAAGTATTTAATACTAATCTTCACATGCTTGTTCCAAAAACCTCATTTTAAATTTCAAATTCAGATTGATAAAAAAAACGCTATCAAATGTCACGCTTTCCTGTCTCTGTGAAATACATTTGTAAATACACTTTTGTTTTCTTTGTATACTAAGAATTTACGATATGGTAATAAAGTGTGGATCGAGACATATATTTCATATTTCTTTATCGAAATTGTCATTATTGAAGTGACTGGAATAAATGGTTTCTATTATTGAAGATGCACATTTAATTTTTTAAATATATTATAATTTTGGTTTAGAAAATATCAGCTCCCTTTAACTTTTTCCTCCAAAATTACAGTTTTCAGTTACGGGACGTATCTAAGGGCTCTCGATCATGAATGGATTATGATGGGATGCATACATTTTGCAGCGTCTTGAACATGATATATTCTAATACACGTTTTCAATAATCTTTAAAGAAAAAACAACGAATTATAAACAAACGTAAATCTTCTTACCTTCTGCTTGCACTAGTCCTTTGAAAGCACCACAAAATACTGAATAAATCCACAAAAGAAAGACTAACTTAGCCAACAATTTGTTTAGAATATGTCCGTCCATTTTTACTTCTCCCGATGCAAACATTTATTTGAGAAACAATTCAATTTCCTTCACGGGAGTGTACTTTCCGCTTTCGTCCTTTTTCGATCTTGTCTTGGAGGTTGTCTAATGAAGGAGATAGCAAGAGGGATGTCACACGGTGAGTATTGTTAAGACCTTTTCTGCCAGCAAGGATTTTAGGGGATGTTCCTGCGCATCTGTTAGGGTCCGACTCGTATCTGGGAAAGATGTCCCGCAGTGCAGGTATTTAAGACTCGTTCGTTGGAAACAGGAGGAGGAAGAGGTTTACAAGATGTTAGGGGTGTACTTGATCTGGTTCAAGTTTAGGCGAGGGGTTCTGTGAAGAAGGGGGCTTCCTTGTAGGTACATTCAAACATTCTCTAGTAGTATTTTATCTTAATCGTAGAAAAACAGGGGAATGAGATTGTGATGGTCAACATTGATTAAATCATCATGCATAATCATGATTAGAATACTTCGCAGAAAGTGGAGATGGTGCACATAATTGATTTGAATTAAATTTGCAAAAATGAATATGTCAACCAACCAGTCGAGTGATTATATTTTCACGACCCTAATATAGAGACCGAAATCTCTAAAAGCTGTGCTTTGGTAATTTTACACTCTGATCCTTCTTTATATCATGTCATTTATTTAAAGGTCCTCTGTACACGAATTAATTACTAACCACTATGAGGTGATATACGATGAATTGTTTTCAAACTTATAACTACTTTGTTTCATAAGGTCTGTACCACCCCTTCAATATCGAACCTCCAGTAGGGTTTAAAACGTTCAATTACCGGCCCATATCCCATCCTTGCCAGTTGCGACGCCATTTTTTTAGGTCACACAGGGAGTGAGCCCCTGAGCCCCCAAAATTGGAGAACGGGGGCTAGTACGCCATGTAGGCTGCACAATTAGCGCGGTCGCATCGGCTAGACAATGTTTTCTGAAGCCATGTGGCTTTTGCAAGCTGGCAAGACGCATTAGATCGTCTATGCTCTCAGTCAGAATTGATCAATGTTACATGCAATGATAAGTGTTCTAGCATTCCAGAAACATTTATGTGACGTCACTTAATTGACTACTTAAACTGAGACGTGCTTGGCTGGTGTTTGTGTCTTGTTTTCTAAGTAAACATTTACTTTAATCCAAGCGTGTATGCAATAACACTTGCAATAATGTACTACTGCTAGGCTAAATATACATATTATACAGTATATATTTACTTGCATGTTTGTACATTTAGATGTACTCCTGTGAAAGTTACGCCGTAGCTATAGGCCTAGTGAGTTCCCTATACACTAACTTAAAACCAAAGTTTAAATCAACCCAACGCTATACATAATTCCCTAACCTTTACCCTATACACAGCCGTAAACCCAAACTTAATCCTTATCATATAAGTTCGAGAAAATAAAGTCTAGAGCAATAACAGGTCACCTTTATTGTGCTGTAGGCATATGGTTCGGTAATCTTGGAGAGGGGTGGATATCCACAAGCTCTTTTATATTCATAGCAGGGCTTCCTTTATAGTGGAAGCCACTCTAAACTACAGTACTTATTAAATAACTCCTTTGAGCATGGATTTCCACTCCTGTATATCTACAAAGTAGAAATACATTACATCAATGCCACCCCCCCCCCCCCCCCTCAAAAAAAAAAATAAGTTCACTGCAGTAGTCAAAATGTATTGCGCACAAGATCATGTACACTAATATAGACCCAAGTCGGAAAAGAAAAGAAGAAGAAAACAAACCTGGAGCCGACGTGAAATGAGACGTGGAGAACCATTGCCCTTGCATCAATAAAGAACTGTTTTTGTGGTATTTCTTTTGGATGGAGTGGACCCAGTGGCGTTACATGGGGCACACGCCCCCTCGATCCCCTTCTAACGGTCATACAAAATGAGAGACAACTTAAAGAAATGGGGTCGCGAAAAAAAGTTAAAGAGGATGTTCCCCTCCAAAATCCTTCCATATAGTATTCGGTTGGCCTTGTTTTCGTCCAATCATTCCCATCTCCTCCATGATCCCAATTCCCCTCCCCCCTCAGTGATTGTTTTCTTGCTACACCATTGCTTGCACCTGATCTGGAAAGTGGAAGATTTGGATTCGCGATAGAAAGATATTTTTCACAGTTTCCCCCTTTTTTTTCCCAATTATAAATTGCAAACCTATATTAAATATTTTCTGTATTCCTGCACAAAGAGTTGCCAGATATTCTTTTGGAACACACTTGAAAGTAAATTAAATAAGACCAAAACCCCCCAAAAATCTTTTTGATTTCTTTATGTTCATCGTTTACATCTCCATTATCGTTGTCACTCCATTTTTTTATTTATTTATTTTTTTATTTTTTAAAATTTTATTATTATTATTATTATTTTTTTATTTTTTTATTTATTTATTTATTTATTTATTTATTTATTTATTTATTTATTTATTTATTATTATTATTATTTTTTTTTTTTTTTTTGGGGGGGTGGGGCTTGTTCTTCAGATTATTGATATTGTTGTTGCTTTTCTTGCTATTGTTTATGTCATCCTCCTCCTCCTTCATCCCCCCCCCCCCCCTCCTTCATCTTCCCCTTCTGCTTCTTGTCCTTCCACATCTCCTCCGGTCCTCCTTAGTCATGAATGATAAGATTAGTTATAGGAAATATAATTGTGATTTATATCTGCTGCAATAAACAATAAGTGTCCATCGTGTAGATCGTCAGCTAGGTAAGCATTATATCATTAAAAAACATAAAAAACGGTACTTTGCCATTTCACAAAAGTGAGTCAATTAAGGGGGGGGGGGGGGGTGTCGAGAGCAATCTCTTTCTCATCGCAGCTCCATTGTGTATATCCCCTCTTCCCTCTCCATGCTATTTTCGTACCCATGATAAGAATGAGCTGATCCGATGTGGCAGTGTGCTGCTGCCCTCACTGATCGAGACATTAACCTTAACCAGAAAAGTGGGATTGGATTAGTGACGTCACAGAGGAGTGGCCAAAACAAAATACCACAGAAAAGTGGTCTGCGCATCGCTTCCCATGCTAATGGACTTCAAAAGAAGCAAAAAAATATATTTCCACAAGTGATACAGATAAAGATAGACCTAACAGGACTGATTAGTGAGTGAATGTTAAAGCCTATCTGCTCTAGTTTGGCCAGGTGGGATTAGACCTCCCTGCATGGTCACTGACAGGTGGTTATCTCATCAAATCAGCGCTCAATTAACATAAGAAAAGGGGACCATGGGGGACCAATGGTCACCGCTTAGGCATTGTTTGCTATATAGAGGGCGCATGTAGCTATAAGTAGTCGGTGAGGCTTTAATGTCTTGAAAAAAAAGTCCAAATATCCATACCGCCCATTACATGTGATATAACGTTTATCGAGTTTGATGGCAGGCAGAGTATATAGTAATAATACACTTATATTTGTTGTTTTAATGAAGAAAATCAGTGTCTACGGTGTAATATATAAACATTCAGAAAGAAAAGCAGCAGACAGAGATAGAGAGAGGAAGGGAGGGAGGGAGAGAGAGAGAGAGAGAGAGACAGTGACAGAGACAGAGGGAGAGAGACAAAGTGATAAGGAGATACAGATACCAACAATAATTTTCTTTAAAGCCAAAATAAAAAGATTTAAAAAAATGAGGAGGTATTGAAAAATCTAATTGTCAGTTACAATGGTTGAAAGAAACACAAAAAGGATAACAGCTTCTCAGTTCTCAACTTTTCATCCGTCAAAGAGTGCTTTCATTCATTAATATATCCAACACATCAGCCTTAAATATTTACAGAAAGGGAGAGGAAGGTAGAGAGAGATACATAGAGAGAGAGAGAGAGAGAGCGAGAGCGAGAGAGAGAGATAGAGAGAGAGAGAGGAGGGGGGGGGGGTGAGGAGGGTAGGGTGTATAAGGAGTAATGTTTTCCTGTCATAAAGGCATCAAAAATGTGATATGCAATATTACAGAAAATAGATGCAGATTGATAAAGAGAAAATAGGTAAAGAAAATACAAGAAAAGATGAAGCCCGAGAAATAATGTGGAGAGAGAAATGAGAGAGAGAGAGAGAGAGAGAGAGAGACGGAGGTCGCAAGAGAGAGAGAGAGAGAGAGAGAGAGAGGGAGCAAGAGAGAGGCATACAGACAGACAGAGACAGAATGACAAACAACAAAACCAAAACTGTCCACCAATAAAAAGGCTTGGGCTATGTGACTACAAGTGTGTCGGACAAAAGAAAAAATAGACAACTTTAATTAGAAAATAGTGAATCACTTTTAATACAACTACCTTCCATAGTAGTTTTAGAAAAATACTATCTGATATCTTTTTAATTTATATTCTATATATTTTCATAAATAGCATGCAGAACCAAAAACTAAAATGAAAGAGAAAAACATTATCAAGATACATTTATAGAAAATACTTGTAAATTATCACTAAAAGGAATGTTTTTATATTTGAATTGCACTAATGAATCGAAACTAAAGGAAAATTACCCTTTTCCTTTCAATATGACTTTTGAGTTTAAACTTAAGTGATAACAAATGACCTTTTGACCTCTACCTATGTGACTATCTACAGGTATATCTGGGTTAGTCCAAGAATATTTGTCCCATATTTGAGAATAATCACTATCAAATTCATGGAGGTGCTTTGTGAATACCTTTTGATTACCCTTTTGAAAATAATAGAGTACCAAAGTGTGATGTCATACTGGCCACGTTGTGATGTCATACTGGCCACGTTGTGATGTCATACTGGCCACATTGTGATGTCATACTGGCCAAAGTGTGATGTCATACTGGCCAAAGTGTGATGTCATACTGGTCAGAGTGTGATGTCATACTGGCCACATTGTGATGTCATACTGGCCAAAGTGTGATGTCATACTGGCCACATTGTGATGTCATACTGGCCACATTGTGATGTCATACTGGCCAAAGTGTGATGTCATACTGGCCAAAGTGTGATGTCATACTGGCCACATTGTGATGTCATACTGGCCAAAGTGTGATGTCATACAGGCCACATCGTCAAGGTTGCTGGTTCCAAACTTCCAAACAAGCACCAAACACTGAATTTGCCACGCTCCAGCCCATTGCTTGAATGGTTTTACGATAAACGTTCATGAGCAGGCTCTTTTGTTTGGAACCAGTAACTTGGATGATGAGCGAATATG